AAGCACAAAATGGTTACAAGGTTGGTCCCAGTGACTGAACTTGTGCTGAAAGAGTTAAGGGCCTGGCTCTTTTGCATGTTTTATAGAGTTACTTTCAAATTTAATTAAAGCACTTTGTTATCAATTATGTCAATAAAATTAGCATCAGAATATTGTTTGTATTTCTTAGTTTTAATTTATTAATTTAAAAAGAAAATAATTCAATATTTCTCAGTCTTTTGTTGTCACATGATGTTCAAGTGCTCTCAGTTTTCCCTCTTTTAATTTGTATAATATCAATAGTATAGTATCTACACTTTCTGAATAGTGTACACACAATGTACAGATGATAAGGTCAAATGTATAGCTTCAATGTCCTAACCTCTCCCTTTGCTGAGATGTGAATAAATGACCCATTTATCTTTCACTTTCAAGGCAGTTTTCAAACTTTGTGTTCTTATTCTTAGTACAGGTTTATAACCAATAGAAAAAGGATATTTTCTATTTCAAGCTTGTACCCATCATTTTGAATTTGTTTACAATAGATGTTAGTCAAGAAAAAAGGGTTGATATGTGTTTGTGTATGTAAAGCAAAGTTGATGCTCAAAGCATTAACAATTCATCTTAACCTATTTAAAGCTTAGTTAGAAAGCCAATTAAATTCTGATGTGGTCTTACCTTCATCTGCCCTCTAAGCATTGCGATCAGTGCACCAGTTTATATACCCCACCAGAAGTGATTTGAATTGATTACATTCTTCCTTGTCTTCTCTGGCCTCACATTTATTTCATCCTCCTTCTTCCTCCCATGAGTCATCTATCTTTGTTTCCCATCCTCCTCCTTCCTCACTCAGACTCTTCCTGGCACTTCCTCCCCATCCTTGTTTTTACCACACCCGTGCTGAATAATGACAGTAGTATAGGTAATGCAAAAGAGGTTTCTAGACAGGTAGGGGCCAGATTGCTCCATTTTTTGGCTGCATTTCTCAACAGATCCATAGATTCTATGGTTTCTATCAGGAGGACTCTGCTTTCAGTTTCGGACTCCACCTCCTCTTTCCCACTCCCATATTTCCTTCCCTCCTCCTCTGGATCCTTCATCTTTCAGTCATCTTACTGAGGCCATCCACGACCTACTACACATGATCCCCATTCAACCAGGGTTTTATTCCTGTCTCTTCATGGTCCCCAAGTAGCCAGAAGATTGGAGACCTATCTGGTCTATTCCAGTTGAATTACTTTCTGGACCCCTTCATTTCACTATTGAGTCTGGATGACCAAGTTTGATATGACAAACACTTATCTTCACATACCTATTGCTCCTGAGTCATTTCCTTTTCTTCAGTTCTTCAACGAGTGTTGAAGAACTGAAGAAAAGGAAATGACTCAGTTCTTCAACGAGTGTTGGGTGTTCCAGTTCAGATGCTGCCATTCGGACTAACCTCAACTCCATGTTTTGTAAAGAGATAAGCACTTTTGCCCGACACCTTCATTCAATGGGTCATTACATGGATGACTGGCTCCTGCTTGTTTCTCCCCATTCATGATCAAGGGGACCACACTTGTCTCCTCCTATAAGCAGCTGCACAGGTGGGTTTTTGATCAAGGTGGAGAAGTCTATTCTTACCCCACTCAATACCTTGTTCATTTGTTTTTATTCAATTCTAACCTCATTCGGGTCCAGCCTTCTCTTTGACTCTGGGATATGGAGTAAATGGTAACAAAGGCACTCACCTCACATTATCACACAGCTCGAGAGATGGGGATGTGAGCTTCCTTGGAGGGGTACCAAATTCAGGTTTCTGTGTCTTCAGACCTGGGATCTCTTTTTTTTTGGGGGGGGGGGCACAGTCACTGCATTGTGGTCTTAGCTTGCCCTCTTTCTGGCACCCTGAATGTTGTTGCAGATTGATCATTCATCTCATCCCATGGAGTGGTCTCTCAATCCTCAGGTCATTTATTGGGTGTGTTATCAGCTGGGTACACTTCACATCAACACCTTTGCCACTCACTTAAACACCAAACTTCCTTCCTTTTGGTCTCCCTTCCTCACCTGCTAGCTCTGTGGGTAAATGCATTCAGTCAAGTCTGGAGGGGTCTTTACATCTATGCCAACCCTCCTATTTGACTCCTCTCCAGAATTCTCTCTCTAATCATAACCACTCCATGTCTAGTCCATCTTGTGGCTCGTATTGGTCTGTGCAACTATGATTTTCCCTGATCCAAACTTTTTTTGTTCTACCTCTGTCTTGATCTCTACTCCATCAACCTCAGTCAGACCTTGTTCATTCAGACATCACCACACTCCATCTTCACCAATGGCTTTTGTCAGGTCCATTGCATTAGCCCAGGGACTGACTCCTCATGTTACATCTTTTCTTTCCTGTTCCATCAGACCTTCTTCAATGGCCATTTACCAATAATGTTGGTCTACCATCCAACTTTGGTCTATTCGACACTGCTTACATCCATCCCACCCTTTTGTTCTTTGTTTTTCCCAATTCTTTGTCTGATTGTTTGATAAAGGCTTGTCTGCTTCGAACTTGTTTTGCTATTGGGCAGCCTTGTCAAACACCTTCCATTTCTCCAGATTTTGTAAGGTTTTTTTTTCCTCTGTCTTTTCCCTTTGTTTCATTTGCATCCTCCACATTCCTTTGGTTTGCCTGAGATCTCAGTTTGGTTCTTTATGCCCTTTCTTGCCCTCTTTTTGAACCTTTGTCTACATGTTCTATTTATCTTCTCTCCCACAAGACCTATTTCCTTTTCCTCTTTGCTTGTGTATGTCATCATTCAGATATTTATGTCATTAATGTTACCCGCATCCTTTACCATTCTTCCTATGTCATCTTCTATCCCAACTAGTCTTTCCTCCTTAAGACCTATGTTGTTTGTGAAGGTGGTTTAGTTTTTACACCCATTTCTTTTCTTTCCCACCTGTACATTGCATTTCCCATGATCTGTTTCCTGTCATGCTTACTGGTTGGGTTTGTAAACTTGTTAGGCTGGTACATTTGGACTTATCCATGAAAGGTTGGTGTCTCCATAATGCTTCTTCTCATTCAGTTTGTCACATCACTATGTCTTTGATTGCTCACCTTCCTCCAGACTTCCCACAAAATCCCCCGACCACACACACACACACACACACACACACACACACACACACAAACATTTTTTTCTTTCAATGAAGCACAGGAGTCCTTCTCAGTTGCTGGGGTGGTAGACCATGTAATCTTTGAGTGAGTTTAGGAACTTACCAATCATACTCATACCTTTTTTCTGCCAATATCATATTCATTTCCTTCTTCAATAGCAAAGAGCATATATGTTCCATATTTAGTGTGGTACCCCACAAGTGTGCTTCATTTTCATCACAGAGCATACCCATTCATTCTGGGTGGTTGCATTTCAATTGATTTCTATGTTATGCACATAAACTAGCCCCTTCTTTGCAATGTGGGATTGTGTGAAAGTAGGTAAGACCATATTGGAAGTTAACATTTTTCTTACACTGAAAATGTTTTTCCAATAGGTACTTACTTCCTTTCACACACTTCCCAACATTTCTCCCCAAGGCTAGTGTTTTTCTTTTAGAGCCTGCCAATTCTTAAACATAATGATTGAACAGGAAAAGCAGAGGGAGGTAGTTGTACCAATATAGGTAGAACAATGCTATTGGTGGAAAGTAGTTGCACGATATGTTGGTATTCAGAAATGACACATAATTGATGGGGTATATAGACTGGTGTGCTGATCGTGAAAAATTTGTTAGCAATGTGTAGAGGGCAGATGAAGATCGAGATAGCTTTTAGTGAGTGGAGGAGGTAAGTACCTATCGGAAATACATTTTCAGTGTAAGAAAAATGTTACCTTATAGTTATTTTTTGACATTCTGTTTTAGTTATTTATGTATTATGTTATAAAATGCATATATGAAAGACATATGATTTAAATATTTTTTTTTCCAACAAACTTGAAGAAAACAACTAGGCCTAGTTAGCTACACTTGTTTGAGAACATAATTTTTCTGAACTGTACATCAATGTATGTGAATTTGCAAATGAGTTCTCACTGTGATCTGTTGCTTTTCAGGGATGAATGAACTGTATGTAAGAAGATAAACAGTTGAAATTGTTGAATATATTAGAAAATAAACAACATCCCAAAATGATGTCTTCAAATAAGCATAATTTTCAAAATTTTACATTACATTGATTTTTATTATTTTCATTAATGACCTTAATCCCAAGTAGTGTAGGGTCGACTGATAAAATTTATAAACCAAGGATTTTTACACCTTGGTGGCTGGCCCCATCATCAACTGTATAGGATGAGCATGTTTTGTGATGGGCATTCAAACTTGTGACCCTCAGATTGCAAGTCAATTGCCTTAACCACCAGGCCATGCCAAGCCCACTGTATATAAATGATTTAGCCTATAGTTAGTGTTAGGGTAGAGAAAGTAACTGATAAAATGTAAACTTTTACTGAACTAAACTTTTGATTTTCATTTAGAACATTCTAGAAGTAATGAAAAGTAAACAATAATATCGTAAGATGAAAAAAGTATTTTTATTCTTAGGATGAAAATCATCTTGCAGTCAGTCTGAGTCAGACTTAGTCCATAAATTCACAGACAAATTATATAGATATACTTTATTCAAAAGTTTGATTTTTATGCACAGTGATCGATGAAGTAAAATTTGTTTCTGACTCTGAATATAACCTTATCAGGTTATATTCAGAGCTAATATCTGATAAAAAGGGTTTGTATCTGATAAATATATTTTATTTTTATAATGTAATACTATAACTTTTTTGCATTTTCTCTCGAGTACTGACTATGTGCATAGTAACTATAGAAGGAAGAATCACAAATTCTACTGTATATGTATAAAATAAAAGCAGAAATAAGTTTGATGTATTTTATTACTTTCAATAAATACCAAAGTAAGTTTGATGTATAGTCATTAGAGTAAAAGCCAGAATAAAATTTTTTCAAAGGGCTAAAGTACATTTTATGTGCAATTTAGAATCAAACCAAAAATATTTTGCAGCTCAATCATACAGTTAACTATAGAAGTAACAATATGTTGATCAAAATATCTTTCATGTAATTCAGTAGTTATTTGTATAAAGACAGAAATAAATCTGATACATAGTAATAAGTGTCAGAACAATACTAAATTCAACATACATGTTTATAACCATCATTGTAACTACATAGGTATATATGGCTTACACTTGTAATTATTAATGCAAGAGCATGAGTACGTTTATTGTATTACAGTCATTGTAAGGAAAGGAATAAGATTGATGTATGATCATATAAGTATTAGCAGGATAACTTTGTATATGATTACCAGGATGAGGAATAAATAAGTTTTGAAGACTCATTGTAAGGTGAGCTTTAGGCTTATTTATATCATCAATGTTTAGACAGAACAAGTTTGATGTTCATCTCATAATGTGAAACTGAAGAGCACAAGGTTAGATGAGAGTTTGAAGTATACAGTACTGCCTCATTATAATGCTTTCTCAGAAAAATTTTGTATCATCTTCTGCTTAACTCATTTCCATTTGGCTTCACAGGCTAAAGTCATTACACTCTGTCACAAAATAAAGGAAAAAAAAGTGGAAAGTCTTGAGTGAAAAACCCAGAGATGTGAATATTAAGTTCAGATATGAACTTGATATTGGGATGTTAGGAATTTGGAAATGTGATTCGATTGTCAAAATAGCAAGAAAGTGTCATCAATATAGTGTTTGTAAAGGACAGGTTTAATGTCACAGCTTTCTAGCCACTTTCATTTATGGTAGCACTGTTAACTATTTGTTGGACCCAGCAAGGATTCCATGTATTTGGTCATAAATGATGTCATTAAAGAGGAAATGGTTTAACTTTATGGGGAGGGCAAGAAGTTCCAAGAATTGTTTAAGAGTGAAACCAAGATACTGCTCAGTGTTAGAAGGAAAGAGAGATGTCATGTCATTAATTGCATCAGGTGTAGAGTAGCATTAAGTTGACTAAAGTATCAGACTTTTTAAGTAAATAAGTAAACATGAGTGTACTTTGTTTCTGAAATATTGCAAAGTTTGTCTTCATATTTTATGCTATATTATTTTTGTATCTATTTTCCCTATGTAAATAAATAGTTGTTTAAATTACTTGATTGCTTCACTAGTCTGTTGAATCCACACTTTTTCAGCACCAATGCCTTCTTAACAAGTTTGTTATAACCATTCCCCACCTATATTGCTCTAGGGTGCACATTGGCTCGTGATGGTAGCGTTATAATGAGGAAGTACTGTATTTATCACTATGGATAGGTTTATGTTCTCTCTTATCTCTTAATCAGTGGAAAAGTATAAATAATTTTGGTATTGAGACCAAAAGTTTTACTATTTGTTGAACTGCTATGAAAAACTGTTTGTACATTACATCATGTAAATAAAAAAGTATACAAAACATCTGTATTCAAAAATGAACATACAATAAATATGTGCTAGAATAAGTTAATGATAATCATTTCATTATTTTTAAATAGAACCCCCTTCAAGCCCAAGCAAAGTTGAAATTTCCCAGATTTGGAGCAGATCAGTGCGAGTGCAATGGGCACATGATGACAGTGGAAATAGCCCAGTTATCAACCATACCATTGAATATCAACAGTTAACAGGTACAGTTATGTACTTCCATTGTTTCTGTTTCTAGGAAAATGAAATTCACAAAATATATACATTTATCTATAGAAACTATATAAACACTTATTTAATGTGTGCGTAATTTTTCTTTTACAGGTGATTGTCCCTTTGATTATTAGTAGTTGAAGTTCTCATAAAGTTATAAGTTAATGTATTTTGTAGTAATTCATTTTAGGAAAAATTACTTTTAAACTTTACACAGTTACAATTTTAACAGTTTGGTGTATATTGTACAATTCCTGCCAAGACAGAAATTAATAACACAAGCTCAGAACTCAATAATCAAAACAACAACTGCTTAAAAAAAGAACTTTACCTGTAAAAATAAAACCCTGAAGTCCTTCTACTTTTTGTGTTGCTTATGTAAATACTGATCATACAGTGAATAATTTAATAAATGTTTTTTTTGTTTATGTTTGTATTACATTGTAAATATTTAAGAGTCTGGAAATGTGTAATAAAACCAACAACAATAATTTATTGAAATTCTTCTGCACAAACACTATATTATAAAAGGTGTTATGTATCACTGAAATATTTAAACTAGAACAAGCTTTTTGACTCTGCTTTTAAATTAATAATTTCAAAGTTTAAGAATTTAGATCTAGTTCTATCTATCTTCCTGACTTGGAGATAAAGCTAGTCAGTTGTACCCTAACTTTTAAGCTGAAACAGCTTGATGCAAAAGTAGAAGATAGCAAAAATTGGGAGATTATAAACAGATTGTATGTACAAGCTAAAATGGTGTTAATTAGGAAGAATTATGAGGAAAACTTTAAATATTAGTATGTCATACACTTGTTTACAGGTCTGGAATTTTTGCCTTCGAAGTCATAGGAAAACAATTTTGGGAAGAAAGAATTTGACCATCTTGAAAATATTAAATAAATTACATTATATGAAATGCATTATTAAGAAAGAACAGTAAATGATTATTCTAGTACTTCTCAATATAAAAGTGATATATAAATCAGAAATGTTATTCAGGTGTTTCAGGTCTAAACTGATAAAAAGTAATTTCAATAATAATAATTTTAAAAATGAAAACTAACACAACTTTAACTGAAATTTTGTTTTAAGAGTTGCCTTCAAAGATTTTTCCTGATGCTTTTTTACACCAAGTATATAACTAACTATAAAAGGCTTATTCCGTTTGTCATTCTGTCGAGAATGCTTCCACACACTCGGTAATGCCCAATAATATATTTCGCTGCTCAGCAACAAAACTATTACCTGATTGTTCTTAGTCCAACTATGGATCTTATGTTGAATGCTCAATATTATTGATTTGTTAGAAAGGCTGGTTTTTTATTTTTTATTTTCTGATAACTTTGGTGATATAACAGCAAAATAATTTAATCCAGAAGTTTTATGATATTGAATTGTATCCAAAATGCCTAATGCTTAAATTAGATTTAATTAAATTAATTTACCAACTACTGTTACATTTACATATTAGGCCTAATGCTTAAATTAGACTACAAATAGGCCTACTATTACTAATGTTATAGAGTCAGTATTTAGAAAGTTTTAAATGGTGAATAAATGTTAATTAATAAATATTATTTTGGTATTTTAACACATATATTTACCTACTTGGCTTTAAAACATAAAGAAAAATAAACATTTATTACTACTAAATATCTTTTATACTTTGTACAGTCAAAAGAATTGAAAATTTGTGTTGGTGTTTAAAAAGTTTTAAGTGGTGGATAAATGTTAATAAATATTCTTTTGATATTTTAACACATCTTTTATCTACTTGGCCTTAAAACATAAAGAAAAATAAACATTTATTACTATGAAATATCTTTTATCCTTTTTACAGTCGAAATAATTGAAAATTTGTGTCAGAATGTCTGCATTATGTTTTCTACTTCCTAACCTAGAATACAGTGAACAGTCTCAAGAGTGCTATTTAAGTCTTTTTCAAAGTACACACATACTTTTGTTTTATGATAACATTTCATTTTTCTGTGTAGTATTTACTAAAAATGTGATGATTAAAGAATTACTTCAAGACTGATGATATAAGTTAAGAGTAAGTGGATTTTGGAGATACAGATAAATTCGTTTTAGTTAAATTCTATAATTTTTGTTAATCATTCAGCAATGGTTTCCCATCATTTTTGACAGGTTGTTATACTAGTAATTAAGATAACTTTCATTTATTTGTTTATTTGGTCTTAATTTCTTTCTGGTTTATGGACTTAAATCTGGGGGTTTGATTTCATTTAGTGTACAGTCTAGATAGCTCAGTGTGTAGCTTAGTGCTAAAACAAATGAACAAAATACCTTTCTGGTCCTTTTTGAAATATATCTTGTGCTTGTAAATTTTCTTATGCCCTCAATCTTTAAAACCTATGAGAGTCATATTTTGTTTTTCTTTACAACCTTTTCTTGTCGTTGTTTCATCCATATTCTTTTGTTTTCCAATGCCATTTATTACAAGGAATATCTGTGCCTTGGAAATTCTAAATCCCTGATCTGAACACAATTTTATGATCTGAGTATATGAATATTTTGCATTTTTCCAATGCTGTTGCATACCTTTTCCAAAATTAATCAATTTTTGGTGGCATCACAATACTTATGAAAAACCAGATAATGTAAAAATTTAGTTCTGATATATGCTGTTCCACCATGATTTTATGTTTTGTATTGGCTGTGGTTGCCACATAACTTGCTGATTTACATATTCAACATCATTTCAACATATAACACTACTCATCCCTTTTCAATTATACAGTAATGTGATGATCGTTGTTCCGACTGAAAATAAAAATTGTGTAATGGTAGAAAAGTCTTCGTGAATCAATGTCACCAGATGTTCACTGTTGTTTAATTGTTAGCTTTTGTAAATATGTTTAAAATCAGTTTATAATAAACTGCTACAATTAATAAACTAATCAACTATTTTAAGCTAGAGACTGAATTATTGGTTCCTGAATTTAGTTTAAAAGTTTAGAAGGAAATTTCTCATTAAATCATAGAAGCTGAAAAATGTTTCTGTTCATTAGTATAATTAGAATATGCATGGTGTTTTGACAACACTCAGAAAGTACTTAATAGGTACTTTCATGTCAAGATTATTTTGAAAGTAGTAATTTTTCAGTTTTCTTTTATGTATGTAAATAACTAATTTAGCTTCTGGTGAATAATGTAGATAGAAGTGTTTTTATATATGTGTTCATACAATGAATGTACCTTTTAACATGGTTAATTCCCTCTATATTATTGGTGGGGGAAGGTCTTAAGTTATATTATCAGGTAAAACTACATGTTAAAATTACAATTAATTTATAAATTTTGTGCATTCAATTTTCTAGCAGGTTAATCTGTCTGCCTTAAAAAAAACATTTTTTTTATTTTCATCAAAGAGATACAATTACTGAAAGTGTATGAAACTAGACATTATTTGATACCCTGTTTCAGATGTTGAACCAGTTGGAAAGAATGTTACCATTCAAGGATCTGCAAATTCTGCACTCCTTAGGAATCTTCAGCCAGCCACAGCATACAGGTTGCTTGTGAGGGCTCATAATGAAATAGGGTCTAGCCAGCCATCTGAGTCTGTCCAGTTTAACACTGCTAGTGAAGGTAGATATAGAAACTTTTGATTATATTATTCATTGTACACGTGTATGCAAAGTCATTTATTTTATGTTAACAATACGAGTATGAGTATGTAAACCTTACAACCTCTTTATTTCCATTATTGACGGTGAGCGATGAGAAGGCTTTGGTGATGAACGATTTCTGCAATTTCCACTGCAGAAGGCTTTTTCACAATGCACTAAAATTAGTGTAGCCCTTCTTTTTTCTTTTTTTTTACACATTTTTGAAATTCAGTCAAGTATGTGCAGATGATGACATTCAGTGGCTCATTTGAGCAACCTGAAGAGATGGGAAATGTTTGCAAATTGCATAACATGAAATCTGATTTGCACTTCCATTTAGCAGAGGACTAGCATGTTGACTTCATGTAACTGAATGCTTTATGTTGATGGAACCTTGCAGTTCTTCCCTTACAAAAATGGTATTTCTTTGCATTATAGTGCTGTCAGCTATTAATTTGATAGTGTACAAAGCTCACCTTGGTAGTTTTCTTGATGTGAATATTTAACTTACCATTATAGCTATAATCTGCAACCAATATACATCCCTTAGATAAATAACTGTGACATGTTCAGTGCTATTTTTTTAAAGTTTTATATTACTGGCATGGAATAATAACTTGCGTAGGCTTTGCCAGCTGTGCTGTATCTTGTATGATGACACTCCCATTTAGCACTTTTTAGATTCCATTTATACAGCTTTTATTAGTTGATCTTTCATTAGGCTATGTGCTCTGAGAGAAGTTAGTAAACATAGTTCTTGTGTAGAAGAACTTCTCACTTTAGGCCCTTTAATATAGCTCTTCCAAGAGGCATCAGTTTGAAGTATATTGTGCACTTAGAAATCAGCATAATTGAATTGAATTATGACAAGAGAAGTAGGGTGCTTATTAAACCTAGATAGTCACAAGCCACAGAAATGGTTATGGACAAAGTAATTGGATACCCCGATTGTTACCATATATCATGAGGAACATGCCGCAATAACTAATCACAATTATTGAGTACATTATATTGGCTATCTCTGATATTCTTTGTTCTCCAATATTTGATCTTAGATGTAAATGTTAAAGATAAAAAAAAAAAATGTTCAAAAACTTGCTGTCTTTATAATGTGGTGTTTATATGATGAGATTACATGTAGGCTCTTTGAAGAAAATAGCAATTTCTAGGTATGAAGGTCTTAACAAAAAGTAAAAATATAATATATTTCAGCTACAACAATACTTGTATATATATATAATTGAGATATTGTTCAAGAAAATGTTATTTTGCTTTCAATAAGAGCTGGGCAATTATTAGTGGAGTTTGTTAATTTATTAATTGTCAAGCTCATTAACCCTCTTGCCACAGGTGTCTGTTTATGTGCATGTCACAAGGTTTTAGTGAGTCACATTCAAAATTTAATTAACCCTATGATTGCAGGCACCCCTGTACTGCACATGTCACAAGATTTTACTTTGATACATTCAAAACGTAATTAAACAATCTTACTCTTAATGTCTACCAATGAAGTGAGCATTAAAATCTTCATTATAGTTCAGTTTTATATTATCTAAATTTTAATTCCTTTATAAAGAAACCTTAAAGAAAAATTCTTAAACTTGCACAACTTCACAAACTTTTAACTTTTGGACTTTGTAACTTGAAAACGAGTTGACTATACTGAACCTCCCATATATAGAAAAAATCTAGGCTAATTGCTATATATACACACATTCTTCTTTCAAGCTCCTTGGGGTATGTTGGGAGAAATAATAAATTAATTGGATCTCTTGACAGATGCCATTCCCACTTTCTAGACATAGAGTTGAGATTTTTCAGCCAGTTATACTTAGTTGAGCTAGATATTTGTAACCAATAGATAGACCAGTTTTAAAACACTATCTCCCAACAATTAGTTTAAAATTTGCGTGACGAATTCCATAGAGAACTTGTCAAACACTATTAGCATTGTTGCTTCTTTTGTCATCACTAATTCTTTAGCATGGTTTCTCACCTTTAGGTATGTTAGACAATTAAATTTTATTTAGGTTTTAGTTTTATATTTTAATTAATTATGTGTTAGTTATGTTTTAAAATGCCTATTAGAGTGGGTTAGTAATTTGTTAAAATATAAGCCAAACTGCCTTAGTTTATCAAACTTAGTGTAGTAGGGAAATGTCCCAATGTACTGAAGAAAACTAAAGTGTTGTTGCTGAGGATAATGTGAGTACACCTGTTTACATGTGTTGCAATAAGTAATAATGCTAAAGGACAGGAAAGGAAAGTAAAACATCAAAAATAAACTGTATGGGAAAAAGTAAAAACTTGCAATTAAGAATAACTGAAGGAAGGTTTTCAACATTAGTCAATGAAAAACTAAAAGATATGTATATTTTTTAAATTTTAAACATTACACTGCACAATATGTTGATGATAATGCTCAAAATATTCAGAGTCTGAGTGCAAATAACTAGAATGCAAAAATAACAAATCTTTATATAAAATATGTAATTAAAATAATCTCATTATTTATATACAAAAAATTGCAATAACAAACTTACCAACTGTTGTGAAGATAAATTGAGAAAGCTTAGAATTATTATAAATATTGTTGGACTGTGTATCATTCTGCATACGAGCTATGCTCATTGGGTACTGCCATATCTCTGTAGGGTTAAAGTACTTTTATTTCATGGTTTACCAATAATATATAACATAACTGATAATCCATATGCTAATTGTATATATGTTTTAGGTTCTTACTTATATAAGGCAATATTTAAAATAATGTAGAATTTTCCCTAGTGTGAGAATTGTGACATTTATTCTCTAGGCATCCTCTCTTTAATTTATTTACAACCCCTCCAAGAAGTATGAAATTTATCTTAAATAGGCAAAGCATAATTTTCATAGCCTACAATCTTATTTGGTTACAGAGCCATGAAATAGACAACTCCTGTCATACCCGAGCACAGATAGCCCTTTGTGTAGCTTTGTGATTAATTACAAACAAACCTGCCCCACCCACCTGTTACATCCTCTGTTTAAGAATCTGCAAATATTTCTCTGTGATGCTCAATACTATAGTATTTATAACCAATAGAAAGCCAAGGTTTTCATCTATCAAATGACATATTATATTACATTGTTTTCTGTACAAAGAATTGTCAATTTCTCTTCTAGTTCAACCTTTATTCCCATGGGAAATACATTGATAAGCTTAGCTGAATTTCTAACTGCTCTTGTCACATAGAAAGTTGTGTTAGTTATGGGACAAAATCTGCTTTTTGCACATTATTATTGTTTAGTGCACTACTACCATTAGTATAAAAAGTAGGGTTAAGTGTCATCGACAATCGACACCAATAAAAAGAAGACTCGGGTAAGTACTTGTTTTTCATATGTATTCTTAATTTATTATTATAAAAGTATTTACAGTGTAAAAATAGGAAACTTTTTATGTTAATTAAGATTAGATTAGGTGAAATAAATAATAATAATATTATAAAAAAAATTTTCACAAGGTATGCTTGCGAATAGCTCGTGTGTTAATTTGATAGCATCACATGAGCTGCATGTTCGCTGAGTGATTTACAACTTATTATGGCGTAAATAGTAATTAGACTAGTATTTCGTAATATAGTCACATTTCAATGGTTATACATTTTATATGTTTATAGATTATTACTATTTAGAAACAAGTTCTTAAACTTATTTTCCTAACACATCGAACAATAAATAAAGAAGTAAAGCAAACAATTATCTCTTCTAGTTACGACCTTTGTACTCAGTTGCTTCTTGAGGTAGGTTGCTAAGCCTTTTAAAATTTCGTATCTGGAGGATATGAAACAATTTTTTTGTTGTTTTTTTCATTTTATATATATATATATATATATAG